AAAAAGCGTACCCACAAAGTGCCCAACCTACTGATGGTATTTGTGGCTCTCCCTCTTCTGCAGGAGTCACCACGGTTCTGACCATGACGACTCTAAGCATCAGCGCCAGGAACTCTCTCCCCAAAGTGGCTTATGCAACAGCCATGGACTGGTTTATTGCTGTGTGCTATGCGTTCGTGTTCTCTGCCCTAATTGAATTTGCCACTGTTAATTACTTCACTAAAAGAGGATGGGCTTGGGATGGGAAGAGCGTAGTAAATGACAAGGTAAGTGAGAATATTCTTATTACAATTAAGGGAATACAATCACCTTGCAATAGATATGTCTCCACTAATAACATGCACAATTTTAAATATTAAAGTGAATTAGAATCATATGCATTTCTTTTAAGTCTATTCTTGTTCTTGCACAATGAAAATTCTGTTAAGAAAACTCCCGAGCATCTATTAAGCTCCGGTTAAGTGTTGGGCTCGGTGCTTCTCTCACTGCCATCGGGTGGATTCCAGCTCGCAGCAGATCTCTAGGACAGAGGAGAAATGCCCCTTTGGGTTTCCAAGGCTATAAATCTTTAAAGCAGAACAGCCCCATCTTTTTTCTCACCTGTGGCTGGTGATTTCAAGCCACCAAGGCTTAGATTTTTAAAATATGCTCTGTTTCATGTAATCTTTACAGCAGCTTTGTAACTTGTGTCTTAATTACTTATTACCCCCACCCCACCCCACCCCCAGTATGGAATTGGTGGTTTAATATAGTTAATACCTTCCTGAAGTTCACAAAACTGATTGGTAAGTATACTTGATCTATTGCTTGCTGATTTTAAACACAAGGAGCCCTGGTGGGAAGTGGTTTATGAATTGCACTGCTAACCTCAAGGTTAGCCACCAGCCCCTCTGCTGAAGAAGATGGAGCTTTCTACTCCCAGGAAGATTTACAGTCTAGGAAACTCACAGGGGCAGTTCAACGCTAAGCTATCGGGTTGCTGTGAGTCACAGCTGACTCTGTGGCAGTGAGTTTCAACATATTTCATAGAGACTTAGTGGATAGTACCTATTTACTTTAACTGTTGCATGTTTTACTGTTACATATTTTAGGCCTACTGAGTGCATTTTGTATGCCTCGCCTCTCCCCATATTTAGTGCATTGAGGTACAAATCCAGCCTGCACTTTCATCACTCCTGTGCCAGTGTGAAGGGATCCTGGTAGCACTAGGGACTAAGTAATGTCAGCAGTCCATATCCCCTAGCTGCTTGTTAGGAGAAAGATGAGCAGTTTGCTCCTGTAAAGCTTTATAGCCTTGGAAACCTTCTATAGGGTCACTGTGAGTTGGAATTGATTGGGTGGTAGTGGGTTTGGTATTTTAGTATTTTTTCTGCTCTCTGAAATAAGTAAGTAGGTGCTGAAATGCCTAGACATTTTAAGTTGCCCTTGTAGTCGCTAAAGAAAAAGTTATTTTAAGATTAAGTTCTTTGGGAATGTTTTGGTTTCAAATACTGAAGCTGGTAGGAATAGATTATTATTCATGTGCTTAAGAAGGTTTTAGCCATAGTGCAATAAAATGGAGACTATGCTTAATAATAGTAAAATGCTCTATTTGAAAGGTATCTTTTACCTATATGTCTTCCTAAAAGCTTCTTATATTAAACTAAGAATAAAATGCATGCTGATTTGATGTCTTTTTTAGTTATTTGAATATAAATAGTGTTTTTTCCTTTTTCTATGATTGTATTGCAGATTAAGCATACAAATAAGTGGTATTATGGCTGATAGTCTTGTACAGATTTTGTTCCTAAAATCTGTAAGCTATAGAGGTTTTAATAAGAATACTTCCCCACCCCCACTTTACAAGCTGTATTTGGCCTAGTAACAGCATAAAATGTAAAGATTAAAGCAATATGATCAATTTGTATCCAGAACTTCATGATTAATTTTCTAGACTATTTCAGCATGCGCATTGCATTTTATTGTTGATTTATGTTTTCATCTTCCATATAATATACTGATTTTTCATTACAAGTACTACTTTTTCGTCATACTGGTTACAGCTGCGCTTTCAGTCTTACATTTTTCATTTGTAATTCCTTTGTAAATATATCACATGGAATGAACTATAGTATCTTTATGATGTCAAACTTCAGTTCAAGTCCGCCAGCTGTGCTGCAAGAGGAAGATGAGGCTTCCTGGTCCTGTAAAGCTTCTAGCGTCAGAAAACCCCAGGGCGGTTTGAGTCTGCTCCGTAGGGTGGCTGTGAGTCAGAATTGCTGCAGTAGCAGTGATGTGTGTGTCCGGTGTTGCGATTCTCTACTGGAGTTCATGATCTTTCTCTGACCATTTTATGTCAGGAAATTTTCTCAGTCAAGCCTCTTCACAAATATTAGAAATACTGATTCCTCTTGTTAGAATGTTCCCTCCTTCCATTCATAAAAAAAGATGAATCTTAATTATCCTTTAAGAACTACTGGAATTGTTTCCAAAGTACCTTGCATAAATCTATTTTATATCATCACTTTACATTAAGATTTTAAAAATATGTTCTACTATTAGTCTCTAAGGTTTGAGAGGTTAATAGTTTTTCATGCTCATCATTATAGCTGCCGCTATCTAACACAACATCTCACACCTGGTTTCTTTGAATATATATTTTTAAATGAACTCTTTTGTTGATATTGATCCTATTTTTAAGTCTGAATCATTGGTCAGCACTGGCGGAGGAAAACATTTTCTATTAACACAACAAAACACTAGATAATAAGTTGCTTGAAATACAGATCTAGAAACAGAACATCCACACTACCATGAATCGTGCTATTTCTTGGGGCTGCCTTTTTCTGCAATGCATAGAAAGTCACATGATCAAATCCATTTATTCATTTATATGCTTGTAAATATCCAATGTTGTTCAAAAAGACTTCTGGGCATTTTTTCTAAAAAAATGCATATATTTAAGTGATAAAAAAATAGAAATGAGAAATCAAGATAAAGGACAGTAAATCTTAAATATGTCCCCCTCCTTAGGTCCGAGTACTAACTGTCATTCATTGCTATACTAAGTGAGCAGCAGATTCTGTACTACTTGGCAGGCAGAATAAAAGATAAAAAGAAACAAGCAAAACAGAGTTATTTTCTTCAGAAAATAGCTTTACCTTTCACTGAATTCTCCTTTGTGAGAAAGACGTCTGTGTATATGCATGTGTATATGTACATATGTATATGATGTAGGTTTTACACAGAGAAAGTGGGGAAACCTTTGACCTGGAACAAAAGGGAAACTCTTGCAGGTTTGCCGATCCTTCTAGGCTTTCAAAGCTCCCTGCTTATCTCATTTTACTTGCACATTTTGAGAAATCTGAATTTAAATTTACTGGTGATCCAAATTTTGTTGTAACCTTTCCTGTAAAGCTCACCTCACTATTTTCTATAAATAACTAAATGCTGAGTCAATTTCTTACATTTATATAACTAATAATACATTTATAACGGTGTGTGTGTGTGTGTGTGTGTGTGTGTGTGTGTGATGTGTGCCGTCAAGGCAACTATAACTCACAATAACCCTATGTGACAAGGTAGAACTGTATCACAAGGTTTCAGTTTACAGGTTTGGAATATTCACCAGAAGAGTTAGCCAAGCTTGTCCTCTGTAGAAAACCTGGTGGACTGTGGGTTCGAATAGACAGTCTTTGGTTAGCAGCCAAGTGCCTAACCATTGCACCACCAGTGTTCTTTACAGTATTATAAAAATGTGGGTAGAGACTTTTTTATTTGGAAGCTTCATTAATTGAGCTACTTATTACATACCATGCTGAGTGCTAATGTTACAAATATTAACAAGTCAAGAGTGGCACCAGCCCTCACTGAATTTAGACCTTAACGGGAAGAGGATGTCAATGAAGCAATTAACACAGGTAATGAAAGTGTTCCCACCTTGTGAAAAATACCTTAATGGGAAGAAGTAGTATGAAAGGACATCTGTAAGGCAAGGCCCCCAGGTTAGAGTGTCGGGGAAGACATTTCTAAGGAACAATTGTATAATTAAAGACCAAAACTGAGAGGGAAATGTTGTTAGCTGCCAGTGAGTTGAATGAATGGAATGAAATGTTGCCTGGTTATGACCATAGCCAATTGCAGACCTGACTCTTGTGATCTCTGGGGCTCCCCCACCCCCACCCCTGCGCTGATGTTTTGGGAATTGATCATCAAGCCTTTCTGACTTCTCTTTCTCTTGAAACGTTGCCAAACCTAGTTAGCATCTTAGCAACACCCACTTTATTGATGAATGATTGGTGACTGCGTTTGAGGTGATTGGCTGGGAACCATCCCGGTCTCCAGGAGAGCGAGGGCTTCCTGAGAGAGTAGTAGCCCTGTGGGAGGAGGAGAAGGGACTGGGAGCACCAGCTATGAAGGGCAGAGAATCCCTGCAGAGGGAATGGTATGGAGTGAACAAAGGAAAGCGCTCATGAGCAGTGTTCGTTTCAGTTCCATTCCACCGAAGACGGTTTTAAAATGTTGCTAACGGAGGAGTAACATAATCCAAGGGCAAAACTCCAAGTTTGTATTTTATTTTTCTTCTATGTTTTTAGGTTTATTTTATGGCATAAAATGACAAGTAACTGAAGTTAAATGCCTTTATTCAGATGTTAAAACCATTTATAGGTGGCCATTTCTCTTGGTAAAATATTGCCGCATTTCATTTTTTTTTCTTCACTCATTTACTCACCAAACATATGAGAAACTTCTAAGAGTGAATAATACAGACGTATTTATTAAAGCTGTATGTTTTGATCATTTGCTTTGTTACCGTAAATGAAACAAAAGCTGGTTCCACAGGAAAATGTTACCAATGATTCTATTTGCAAGTTTTCCTCATCATAATGTTTTCATAACTTAAAGCCTTATTTAATTTTCTAAATTCCTTCTTTCTAATGGATAATGGTGTTCAAGGTAATTAGTTGCAGACAATGTTCTACACCTGACTCAATCCGTACTCTTTGATTTCTTATGTTTTCCAATAGAAAAAAGAAAAAGGCTCCGTCATGATCCAGAACAATGCTTACGCGGTAGCTGTTGCCAATTATGCCCCTAACCTCTCAAAAGATCCAGTTCTCTCCACTATCTCCAAGAGTGCAACCACGCCAGAGCCCAACAAGAAACCGGAAAACAAGCCGGCTGAAGCCAAGAAAACGTTCAACAGTGTTAGCAAAATTGACAGAATGTCAAGAATAGTCTTCCCAGTCTTGTTCGGCACATTCAATCTAGTGTACTGGGCTACGTATTTAAACAGGGAACCTGTATTAGGGTTCAGTCCTTGAAACTAGACCCGGGGGTATCTTTGCGATGCTGAGCAACATGAAACTCCATTTGTTTTGCTATGTACAGTTCGACTAATAACTGCTAATTGGTGAATGGACATGTACAGTATGTATATAGCGACACAGCTTACCAGTAGATCTCTAATGGAGTCACGCATTTGCTCATCCATGGAACTGCAGGCAGAAAGCACCCCCGTGCCAAAAGAGCCAGCGCCTTTTTGGAACTTTACATTAGGAATTGGTTTAAATGGGTTTCAAATGTCCTGATTTCTTTCCTGCCCTTTAATATAGAGGGAAAATGGGGGCTACAGCCTGCTTGTATTTATGTTTTATTTAAGTATTAAATATGAATATTTTCTACTCTTGTCTACTTGTGATGCAAGGTAAGATTGTCCTTCACAGACAAATTCTTCTAAATAGCAGGGCCTGGCAGCTAGGACATCCATTCCCTTCCTGAGTGCTCAGAATCCCGGCTCATGTGACAGGAAGCTTGGCACACATAAGAAGAAAAGCTAGCGATTACACAAAATCAGCTTTTAATTACCCTGTATATTACCTATAGTCATGTACATATTAAGCGTGATGAGCTCAAATAATTACAGGAGTTACCCCTGACAAGATTTGAATTATGTCTAGAATTTATTAACCATTGGAATGTCATGGTCATTGCATTTTTCACTTTAGAGTTTATTTGAAAGTAATAATTGAACTCTGACAATTATTTTCATTGAAAACTACCTTAAGTTTTAAAAAAAAGTGTCTTGCTCTTTCCAAGTATGTGTTCTATTAAAATTGATCACCTACATTTTCTTGGTGCTGGAGACTAGGAAAAGCATCCAGGTTGGCTGCTATGGAGTAACATTCATTTTGGATGAGAAAATTGTGCCAAAAACTCCCACTGATGAGAATTCATAAGTGTCACAGAATCTAGAGACCACTTACCGGATTCTCTTCTTTCCTGTTTACTGCAAATTCTGCCTTAAGCCTTCTTTTCATCAGGGCTCAGAAGCCACTAATTCTAAAGGAAAAGGTAGTTAACTGGCACATTTTTCTGCCTTGAAAGCAGCTTTTTTGGTTAAGAATTCATGTAAATCTCCCTTTGTAAATTGCAACTTTAAATTTCACAGACTCAAATTTACAATAGCTTTGTATACCAAATGAGATTTTGGTAAGAGTTGAGCATTTTTAATCTGAAACTTTGAAACTTCAACAGGTAGTGGGTTATTGAAATTGCATACAAACATACTAATCTCACATGCAAAGAGTTAAATTAGAAGACACACTCACACAAACAAGTAGTTAAGTGAGAAGACACACTACAATTTTATACAAGTAGTAATTATTAATGGATGACATACACAACCTGTTTCTATAAAAACTACAGCCTAGGAAACACTGTGGGCCAGTTCTACTCTGTCAAATTGCGTCCGTCACTGAGGCAGTTGACTTCATAGCATCCAGCAGCAACAATTATAACAAAATATTTTAAATTTTAACATTTAAAAAACTTCCTTTGCCCCTGAAAGAGCAAATGAAATTTAACATTTGTGTATCATACCTGAATTCAAAGTTTTGGTCAGATCTAAAGTCCTTTTGATTCACATATACATTAGCAGTTATTAGCTGACTTTCAAAATTAGATATCACTTTATGATGGTGTCTTTGTAGAAACATCAGTAGTCCAATCGTGGCATTTCTGGCAGTTTTGTACAGTATTTGAGTAAAGTGCATAAATAGGTATGTTCAAAAAATTAATAAAAGGCATATCTTATGGAAATAAGCAAAATCTCAATCAATGATGTTTTACTTTGCCTCCTTTAGTTATTTATGTTCATTTTTGTTGTCTTAATGTGATTCTACTGTGTGCTTTGCATGATTGCATTGATACCAAGGTCGTAAATGCATTCTATTAACAGAATTTGCCATGAAGTCAGCCTTGATTTAAAAAAATAAATAAAACCCTCACAAAGGTAATCCATAATCTTCAATAAAATAAACTTGTTACATATGCCGATAAATGAATTTTTTTAATTCCTTTCCAATTTTTTGGTATCTAAATATTTTTTAAATGTGTGTTGTTCTTTTCATTCGATGAGACAAAAGATACCCTATTTTGTTATACATGTAAACATAATATAGCTCCTCTGTGATGCGTAGGCAAGTGTGCAATATCCTAAGAGAGTCTGTAATGCCGGACGACAAGTAATAAAACTGCTATGTATGGTATGCATCTATCAGGCACTTTTAAAAAGAGTTCCCTTCTAAGTTCTGCATTTTCCCTTCATTTCCCTTAATTTAAAATTATACATTTATAAATATGTACATATGTAAGAATAATTGTAAATAACAGTTTTCATAGGACAACAGACAAGATTCATCCCTACCTTGGTCCAAGAGCTGTACTTATAGTGATGTCACCAATTTTGATAGAGTTTATGAAAGTGATCAGAAATAATATTATCATTATTATTATTTTCACTTGTGGTTGTTAAAAACTTTTTGAGCCAAATGACTTCGTGGTACTTCATGTGTGCCAATAATGTTGGTGTGGTCTTTCTTTTTAGTTCATTAACTTCTTCTGAAGGTTGAATAAATCCAAAGCATCGTTTATTTTGATGAAGAGGGAGGCTGCTTCATGGAAAATTATCTTCTATATCCATGGTTTTTACTTTTATTTCTGAATCCATAAACTAGTTTTAAAATACGTACAAAGTAAGAGTCAGATGGATTGACCACACACCAAAAAAATAGATCTTTTCCGCAGGAAACAAAATTTTAGTACCCTAGTATTGTACTCACTGGGTTATAAAGACTCTATCCACTTCCTGCAGTGTACATTGACATAACGAGTTATGGTCTGTACAAAGTGTACATAAACAGGTGTACATATATAGAGATAGATATAATCATGTCATTGTATAGCTCCAGCTCAGCTTCAACTAATCCTTATTCAACATTTTAAACATTTCCTACTAGATGCCCTATTCTGCATTTGTTGTCAGCACCACTCAGCTCACGCCCATGCAGTTTTTGTTGAATATTGCAGTGTATCTCATAAAAACTTGAAGTCCAACATTTAATGAAACGTGTGAAATTAATTTAGCACCGAGTTGTTTGATTGTTTTATGAGCCATGATATCACTAATGTACTAATATGGTAGCTGTTTGCTGTGCCATCATTGTTCTTATTTGTTTGAATATAGATGTGATAACTAATTTGCCATTTAATAAATTTTTTAAAACTTTGGTGATTTTTAAAGTGCCAGTTGTACTGTTGAATGATCTTTACAGGGATCTCTCTAGTTCCAATTTATCTCAGGGTTGGATAAGTGATCCCCTTGAGCCATCGTTCCAAAATTTTCTTTTTATAAATAGCTCATAATTTATTTTTAAAACAGGATATAAAATATTCGTTTCATCATTGCTTTCTGTAACTGTGTGTATATCACAGGTGTTGAAGGGGCTCTTTTTGTATTCCTTGGGGAGGGAAGTGGGCTCTGCCATGAGATTCTCATGGATTCTAGAGAGGCACCAAAGTGTCAGGGACACTGCATTGTGTGCACCACATTTCAATAAAAGTAGAAAGGAAGACACTCTAACATTCTGCATTGTCATTGTTCTCCAGCATCCAGGAAGAATTCCTCTTTCACATGTGCTTAATATATGCATGGAAATGTTTATGAAGCAAAACTTTAATTAATTTTAAATCGGGGACTTTATTAACAAGTTTATGGGATGGGTTGTTCTTGTTATTAGCCTTTGGCGCTCCTAAAACTACCTGCACAGTTTTGAAACAATTGCAAGATGTTTATTTTTTTAATTGTTTTTTTGTAAAAGGACTCAGAATTTCAGGAGCATTGTGAGTTTTGTGCCATTCCTTCCCTGTAGAGACATTTATTTCTCTTTAATTGATGTCTTCGCCTGAGCACCTTGAACTTCCTCTCTATTAATCTGAGGCAGAAAAAAATCATAACCTGAAGCAGAAAATCGTAATCCAAAGCAGAAAGATATCATAACACTTAATTGGGGGAGGATTGATTATATTTAATATTTGGATGTTTACAAACCATGGAGATTACACCAAACTACTCACATCTGTGTGGAAAAGCAAATTTATGATGAACTATTTTTCTCTATTTAATTCACACATTAAAAACAAAAGATGGTATTTAATAAAGTTCTATAACAGCCCAAATCCCTATTACATCAAAATTTGTATTTGCACAGAAATTTTTCTGTTAAATATTTAAACACTCATATTTTCTTCATAAAGACAAATCCAGTGCCTCAAAAGCCAGGAAAGATGTTTTAGAGAAGAGAATTCAAAGAAAAAGAATAGGGCGTTGTTAATTAAGGTAACACCAAAAGTAAGTAATTTTCCTTTTCTCATTCACAAGAAAGGGAAAATTATAAATGCAAGTATATTTTTAAAGTTGTCTTAATAGTCTTAATTCTATCAAGATAAGCATATTTTATCAGATAAAATTTATGCAAAAGGATTTTGGGGAAATATAGGAAATTATTGAAATCTTTCCTGATAATATACATTATCTTGCTTTCTTCGAAATTCTTATTTATCAATATTTTTTAACCATGTGTCTTATATCTTATTTTTTTAAATATGCTTTTTTCTGTTTTTATAAAGAACATTTTCTTATAGCAAGCATTATGTACCCCAATTTCAAATCACCTTTTTATCTATTGTAGTTAATACTTTGCATCAGTAGAGCAATATTTTCAATCAGCCTTTAATGTTTTACTTTGATTAGAAGTACCTGTCTATGTATGAATTCTGAGAACGAACTTCCATTTCCCAAGAGTAAAAGCAGAAATACAGAAAAGTACATGTAATATAATTTATTCTGTTAAGGAATCTCACCACACATGTACCTCTCATTAAACCATTAATTAATCAATAAAAATTTAAAAATAAGTACATTAAAATCTTATTGGTTAGAATCTACTTTGAGTCCTAACATATGCTTAGAAATATCTTTCTACATGGTTTCATTATTTTCCCTGATTCCAAGCATAAAGCTTCTCAGAAACGTTAAAATGATTCCTTACATTTGATTTGTAAGTTAAACGCCTTGGTGTCACACTCAGCTGCTAAACAGCAGGTCAGTGGTTCAAACCTACCCACCGCTTCATGGCAGAAACACATGGCAGGCTGCCTCAGTGAAGGTAACAGCCCTGGAAACCTGTACTGAAGTTCCTCTCTGCCAGGCGGTGTCGCTCTGAGTCTGCATCTACTCAAAGGCGAGGAAGTAATGGGCGAGGTAGAGAAGGCAGTCTTTGAATTCCACATTTTATCAATGGATATTTGTGAAAGCACTTTTAAAAACAAAATATCTGGTTAACTTGCAAATATATTCATTTCTTTTTCAATTAAATGGCACTCTGAATGTCTTTATCTGGAGCTCACCATGAGCCGTATGTGATTCTTGATGTTCTGGAAATGTAGAATTTACAGAATATACCAACAGCACGGTGTCAATCTAGGATACATTCTCGGCAAAGTTGAAAACAGAACAAAACTTGTTTGTCTTCCTTTAATTCATATTTATATTTACACCTTTTGGGGAACCTTCATCCAGTCCCAAGGACATTCTCTGATTTTCTACAACACAAAATTAAATAAACACTAGCAGGAACACTCTGTGCTTTGCAGCAAACAAATAAATCCACTTAAGTAAAGTTGTTCACCATTATTAGATGCAATTTAGCTTCTGGGACTGTATTACATTTTTTGTGTGCCCTATAGCACGTGATAGCATGTGAGAAACGTTTTAAGTTGTTTAAGTACATTGTCATAAGCACTCCTACCCACCGCTTTTTTATTCTTTGATTCTTTTCTTTTTCCTTCTCATTTTGCCAGTTAGGTTAGGAGTTAGAGAAGTTATGTTTTAATTTGTCATACTGTTGTTTTATGACATTTAAACTTTGAATTTCATTAAAAGACAATTTGTAGATTTCATCAATTTCTTGCAAATGATTATTTACAGAGAATAGTCTGTAGTGACGCCCAAATAAGCACATGTTGGAACACTGTATCTATTCAATGTGTTTAGATGATGTCAGATTTTTAGAAATTTATGGTTTTGTTCCCCACAAATTTACTTTTTTCTAACTTGCTGCCCAAATGGAAGCTTACCATAATTATAGGCTTGCACCCTGGTGGTACAGTGGTTACAGTTGGGCTGCGATGCGCTTGCTCGGCAGTTCAAACCCACCAGCAGCTCCAAGAGAGAAAGATCGGACTTTCTATTCTGGTAAACTTAGTTATAGTCTCAGAAACCCGAAGACACCGGGTGATCATAATTACAATAACTTCCAACAATATTCATTAGTAAAAAATGATGATACTAGGAAGATGAAACAAGTTAGAGGCAGAATTATGTTAGAAATGACTGGTAATAGATTTGAAGCCCATTTACTCCTTTATTTTTCAACATTAAACAACCGAGCATGGCATTGAAGAAGATTGATTTACAATTACAAAAGTCAAAATGAAACTAAATTTAGAAGCCCCAATTTTCATGAAGTAGGCTTTACCATCCATTAATAAGCCCTTGCTTGTTGATCTTGGGTGTTTCTTACTTATTTCAAGTTTGTTGATAACCTATTTGTTTTCAAGATTATCTTGGGCAAATACAGATTCAGGTATTCTGCTCTACACTAAGGAACGTTCAGGAAGTACATTCTTTATGGAGGATGTGCATGGAAACTTTAAGAAGAAAACATCTATATTCATTGCTGAATAACAAAATAAACAAACATATAGCGTTGAAATGAATTTCCCTTGCTACAATTAGATAATAAGATTCCATGCCCAGAGTTCTGCACAATGATTGCACCAACACTAAATTCTGAATGCTCACATTACAAGAAATTTGAAAATTTCTGAGTGACAGTACGGCTATATGCTAACTATTCAGGAGCTACTTTTAATTTGTGACCTTGTTTTAATTGGGAAAAGTCACTAATTTTTTTTGAAATGTAAGACAATTTGACCTTGATTATGCCATTTTGCTGGCTGTTTATTAATTTTTTTAACTAAGTAATTACATGCAAATTAATGCTAAACATTATCTTTTGTACTGATTAAAATTAATTTAAATGCATTTTATTTGAAAACTGTTTTATACTTGAATTATATTTGGTTGTGGGAATTAAATTTATTTTAAACATGACTTCTTTATATTGGAACATGGCATTGATCATTTGTAATGCACATGTTAAGTGTTTTTAGTTTCTTTAAATTCTTTTTATAGTGAATAACAGTGTGGCAAGAAAAGTATATTCAGTTTCTCAAATTTTTCAATCTTAACTGTGGTGGGGATCATTCATTACTAATGTTGATATCTTTAACACTTTAAGAAAAGGGTGCCATGAAAATAAGTTCACCTAGAAAATTAGTTGTGTTCTATGATTAAAAATATCACACTTACATGGAGCTGTAAAATAAAAGTAAGATTTACCTTTCTTTAGATATATTCAACTTCAGTGTTCATTTCTTCTTTTAAGCAGTTTTATTGCATACATGCACTAGCCATCCTATTCATTAGTTCAGGAACACTAAAAAGAGTTGTTCAATCATCACCACAATCAATTTTAAAACCATTTCTTCATTCTTATACTCATTGCTACTCGTTGCCTATTTTACTCCAACTTCCCCTGCCATAACCCAAGAAACCATTAATCCAGTAACTATTTGTAAACCCAGAAATCTAACAAAATGTGCTTTTTGGTGAACTTGTCTGAATAGACTAGAGAAACAAATCCAGGGAGACACACATATGTGTATAAGAAAGAGCTTTATATAAAAGAGCAATTGTGTATTGAGAAAACATCCCAGCCCAGTCCAGATCAAGGCCATACCCCAATATTAGCCCATATGTCTGATACCCAGTCTACAAATTCCTCTTCAGACTAAGAGCGAAGGGGTAGAGTTTACCTGTCAATCAGGTCACAGGTGATGACCTCTTTTGGAGGTAATAAGGAGATAAATAGCTCGCTGGAGGCCAGACACTCAATCAGTCCCTGAGAGACATTCTTGTTGACAAGCCACATGGAGACAGATGGATGGCAACCAAAGCCTCAGAGCTGGAGAAGACACGTGGAGACCCCTGCTAGCACTGAGATGCTTACACAACCACTGGATCCACAAGATTTTCTATCCACTGGCCTGTGATTTTCCTGCATTTGGCATCATTGCATGTGTTTTGTGAGTCTGAAGAAGAAT